AGTACTGGGTATAAAATTAGTGGTAGGACTGGGATTAGGATTTGGGAATTATGACTTGGGTCTTCTGTCTATTGTGTACTTGATCATTCTGACAGTGTGACATGTCACACTTGCTGATCACATTATGCTGTTCACATGATTGATCCTGTATGCATAATTATTGTGGATCAGTGTTAATTTTGTACTTTATCTTATTTCCTAATATTTGGAAGAAAATTGCTTCTGAAAAAGACTTAAGTGATCAATAGAAGTTTACTTCAAAAATATCTGAACATGGTGACCACTGAACATAATCACTACTAATTTATTCTCTTTGCCAAGTATTTTATGCAGCGGATGCTGATTCAATCTAGAAAGTTATTACTATTTTAGAAGATTTCAGTGGCATAAAAGTGATTTGAAAGGGAATAGAAAATAAAATCAAATGTGTCATATGCCTTTTAATTACATTGTGCATTTGTTGGTCTAACAGTTTTGTGTTTTTCTTGAACTGACAGAATTCCTTGACAAGAAGTGCGCCACTTGCTAATGATTCTCAGGCACGTAGTGGTGCCCGCTTTCACACCTCATATGACAAAAGATATGTCATCAAAACGATAACAAGTGAAGATGTAGCAGAAATGCACAACATACTCAAGAAATACCATCAGGTAATATGTTATTTTCAGAGATAGGGAATAATTAAATGTAATTTTGGGGAATTGAAATGAAATTGTGTGCGATAGAGGAAGTGAAAGTGTTCATAAATTTGTGTTCTTTTGGCTGCAGAGATTCTGGACTGTGAGTATAAAGTTAGTTCTCTCTGAAATTAAGATTTGTAATGAATAATTTTGAGAACTGGGCCAATTCAGATTTAGTTCCTTTTCCTTTTGTGAATAAGACTTTTGTTTTGGTTACTAAATGTTGCTTGTGTACCTGAGTACTGATTTTCAAGTGATGAATGTTGTAACTGCAAGTAAAATTGGGGGGGGGAGGACACTGTATTAGTACATGTGTTTGCAGACAATACATGATAATGAAACCTCTTCGCACCAGAGAGAATTTCAGTTAACCATGCTGTTCACACATGAGAAATCTGAAAAGGAAGCAATGAGGGGTTCTTGGATGTGTGCTGATAAAAATCATTATACTATGCCAGCAAGCATTTTTCTGTACACAGCATGCTTATCAGAAAAAAAATATTCTAGAAATACTTAGATTGGTTTGATGGCTCTACACCTCTTGGAACAAGCTGTCCACTGCACATAATTTTGGACAGACTGTAACTACATCTAAATATGTCTAAAGCAGTATCTTTTCTTTTTATCCTTTCTTCCAGTGTTTTCTTCCCACACTAACTCATACTAGCTTGCAGTGTTAGGGAGAGAACATAGCAGTTTCACCCAGCTTGCAGCATTGCCAACTCTTGTGACTTTTTCATCAGTCTTCTAGTGTTTGGTTTTTCGTAAAACCTTAGTTCTACAAGTGATCATATTGCATGCAAATCTCGTCTACCATTTTAAAAAAAAAGTGTTAAGCCTTTCATGATTATAGCAGATTTAAATTAAATTAAATGTGTGCCTTAGTCAAAACTGAAACATTTCATGTAAATGGCTTGATTTCAGTGACAGTATTACAGAACCACCCCTGTCAGGTCACCTGCCTGTCAGGTTTATTAACAGGAAAGCAAGTGTCTGGAAGCCCCATCTTCCAGATTGGAGCTCCTCAGCAGTCCTGTCTCCCAGGGCTACCAGGGTTTGTAACTCCAAGACAGCCAACCAAGCAGAAAGCCTTGGAGCTGGACTACAGGACTTCTAGGGTCCATAGCACAAGGAGAGCCATTCAAGGAAATTGCCTAGAGATTGGGTCTCATTCCTCTTAGAACATTTTGAAATGTTGGTGTTTCATGCATTGGGATTC